TTCGCTGCCATCCACTTCAGCAACATCTGTTTCATCACCGGCCTTAACAGCATCTGAGACATTTTCGCTGCCATCCACTTCAGCAACATCTGTTTCATCACCGGCCTTAACAGCATCTGAGACATTTTCGCTGCCATCCACTTCAGCAACATCTGTTTCATCACCGGCCTTAACAGCATCTGAGACATTTTCGCTGCCATCCACTTCAGCAACATCTGTTTCATCACCGGCCTTAACAGCATCTGAGACATTTTCGCTGCCATCCACTTCAGCAACATCTGTTTCATCACCGGCCTTAACAGCATCTGAGACATTTTCGCTGCCATCCACTTCAGCAACATCTGTTTCATCACCGGCCTTAACAGCATCTGAGACATTTTCGCTGCCATCCACTTCAGCAACATCTGTTTCATCACCGGCCTTAACAGCATCTGAGACATTTTCGCTGCCATCCACTTCAGCAACATCTGTTATGGAACAGATATCATCGGACTTAACAGTTGAAGCTCTGAAAAATGCAAAGAAATACCTTGCTCTTGTCCAAAAGAAACTGAAGGAAGTAAAAGGAGAAAATCAAATTTATAAACGAAAAGTTAAATCCCTGGAGAAACATCTCGTTAATATTAAAAAAATGCAGGTTCTAAAACTTAAACTAAAAAAAACAACAATAGCATTGAAACGTTTACAGCACAAATACTCTTTAAAACAAAAAATGTTTCCCGGTTTTGGGACAGATCAGATAGAGGCTTTAAATCGGAAGTCCTGTAAAGGTTTGAAATGGAGTACCAATACTATTCAAAAAGGGCTTGTTCTGAAAATGAAATGTGGAACTAAAGGATATTCTCATCTCGTAAATGAGACACACTTATTTCCTTCCGTCCGTACTCTTCAAAAACGAGTCCAACATTTGAAATTCGACAGTGGAATTTTAATGGAAGTTTTTGATATACTATCCATAGAAATAAAGAAAATGGATTACAAGGAACGACAATGTTCTCTTATGATGGACGAAATGGCTATTACACCTGACGAAAGATTAGACACCAGTTCATATAAGTGGGTGGGGCAATCAACCTTTTCAACTCATTCGGGTATAAGCACAAAAGCTATTGTTATTATGTTGGCTGGCTCTTCTATAAGATGGAAGCAAACAGTCGCATGGTTCTTGACAAGCTCTATGAGTGACGAAGTAAAAAAGAAAAATAGAACCGAAAACTTAACAGGAAAGGAACTTCATAAAATAATAGAAGATGTCGTTAAAAAAGCAGAAGAGATAGGCTTTTTTGTGAACTGCATTACTACTGACATGGGCTCCGACAATCAAGCTATGTGGAGATCTTGGGGTATCCATGGCAGAAAGGGAGAAAATGTTGCTAGCTCGATTGTTCATCCTTGTCGTCCAAATGATAGATTTTACTTCATGCCCGATCCTGTCCATATTTTTAAAAATTTTAAGCTTATGTTGCAAACAAATAAAATTATTAAATTACCTTTAGATGTTGTTGCGGAAGCCCACCTCCCTACTAATGAAGTTAAATATTCACATATTATGGATCTTCAGGAATATGAATCTAAATTTGAACTCAAAGTGGCTTACCGTTTAAAAAAACCTAGTGTGCAATGTTCTGGACATTTTGAGAAAATGAAAGTGCAGACGGCAAAAGATGTGATCAACAACAGAACAAGTTCCGGTTTGAAGTTGCTTGCGGAGTACAAACATGATCCAACCTATCTCACAACAGCATGGTTCATTGATTTCAGTAATCATTTCTTTGAAATCATCACAAGTAGAAATTACAAAATGGCTTTGAGTAAATACAACATGGACGTATACCTCTCAACTGTAAATCACATTAAAAAATTCGAACATATAATTCATAATATGTCTGTTGGAAAAGGAGCGTGGAAACCATGTCAAGCAGGTATTCGCATCCTTTGCTCTTCTGTTATAGATTTACAAGAATATTATTTAAATAAAGTAGGGTACAATTTCCTTCTGTTAGGTCGTTTCACTCAGGATAGCGTAGAAAATCTTTTCTCATGCATAAGATTGGCTCAGCCTGTTCCAAATGTAATTGCCTTCAAACAGAATTTGAAAGTAATTACAATTGCTCAGTTTTGTAGTACTATAAAGGGTTCTAGTTATGAAACTGATGAAGGATACTTGCTAGGCGATTTTCTTACACATTCGAAAAAAGAGCATGAGATTAGAAGACTGACAGAGATACAAAATGAAATTATTGAAATAGCAGGTATAACGTTTCCTCAGTTAAGAGATGAAGATTTGTATATTCTGGATGAGTGGGAATGGTTTGTCATTTATGATATGGCTGGAGCTGTACTAAAAAGTGTAAAGAAAAATTACAAAATTTGCGAAACATGTCTTAATTCTGTTCTCTGGCATGAAAATGAATTTCATCCATTCAGCTTAGTAGTGCAATTAAAAAACTATATACCTGGTGCTCTAGTAGAAGTATCTCATGATTGTTTCAAAGCTATTATGAAATGTGAAATTACATTCAGAAAAATAAGATCTGTTTTATTGAATGCAAAGAATATCGACATTGTACAATGTTTCACGGAAGGATTACTATATATTTGGGAAGGAAGTAATATTCCTGATTGTCACAAGATTACAAGGAAAATATTATATCGTTTTATCAGAATGAGAAGTAGATTGTACGGTTTGAAACGAAGAGAGGAAATTGCTGTTTCATCTTCCAAGCAACCAAGACTTAACAGTAAAAGTGTTTCCATGAGAGAATCAGTGAAAAATAAAGAAATAAGAAAAAGTTCCTTTACATCTCAATAGATAACGATTACTATATTAAAGTACATTGTGTATCGGGCTACTTTTTCCTCAGTCTTCTCTTTTAATGAAATAAGGAAATTTTATTTTGAACTTTGTAATAGCTCACACTTTCTAAACTTTTTTTTAATAATTGTAAGTAATTAATGTTACAGGAAAACTTGTGATATTAGATAAATAATGCCAAAGGATGTAAACAGTTCCTAAAGTTTATTTTAATAATATATTTATTTTCGGTATAGATAACAAAGAAAACTATAATTTTATTGTTTCTGTAAAAAGTTTATTTGTTCCATGCTTATGATTTAATACATGTTTAAATTGTGATACATTCTGCATTTGTCTTTCTACTTACTAAACTTGGTTTAAAAATTTTGTTTTAAAACATTTATTATAAGAAGAGAATATATATACATATATAAACATAGTTATATAGTCTTAAATAAGATAAGATAGAACTGTGATATATCTTATTAATGAGAATGTTTGTTTTATGTACAAATTTTTTAAAATAAAAGATTGATGTTGAAACATATGATTTATTTTTTATAATTTAAAAACTTCCTCTTAATTAGAGTCATGTGTCCTTTTCCCTCATTATAATTAGATCTAAAAATAGAACAAATTATAAGACAATAAAAATATTAGGCCAGTAGCATATATTAAATGTAAGCAATAAACAATAAGTAATTTTTTTATTTATTACTGTTTATGTTATTGCCATATTACTTAATTGTAATTAATTTATTTACTAATATATATTTTCGTGCTTATGTTTTTGTATGTGCCACTAGTCTTACTTGAGGGCATAATTTATTCGATTTATTTTTTCACCTACATTTTTGACTGTGCTCGTATAATTCGCTGTATATGTACAATTTTATGTTTCAAACGAGTGTTCTCTCTTTTAAAATATTTAATAAGTTTCCTACTTCTTTCCACTTCAGCAAGAATATCTTCCATTTGAACTGAGACTGGACTGCAACTTTTGCTGATTCTATTTATTTCTCCATCAATATTACATATGTTTTTGTAATTATAACTCTCTTTACTGTTGCTGCAGAATTGTTCTTGAACAGTATCCATGCTGACTAAATTGTGAACTTGTTCGTTAACAGTAGATGCTTCACAATTATCATTTTTTTCAATGTTTCTTGGATGTGAGAACATAATACTGCAATCGTACCTGCAATTATGCAATACCTTATCTTCAAACATTTTTGTTTTAATTTATAAACAAGCAATCACAAACGACTTTAAAATTATTTTATTTCAAACATTTGGAATACTCCATAGATTAAACCATATGAAATTCTTCTACGTATCATACAGAATTATTTATTTAGGTAATCTCTGATGAAAATTTTTCTCAGAATTTTTCACATAATTTTGCAGAAATTCTATATAATTTTTCAGAATTTCCATATAATTTTATAACTTTCTTACATTTTTCATACGAATTGGAACACTTCTCAGAAAATCTACATCCTATCTCAGAATTTTTCATATATATTACTTATGAAATATATAAGATTTCTAAGATTTTTTGTATAATTTCTGATGAAATGTTATAAAATCTAAAACAAGAACATTTTTTTTTAATTATGGTATGAGAAATTTCAGAATTCACTTGTATAAACAGTTCTGAGAGAAGATATAAACTATCTGAATATTTCTGAAAAATGTTCTAATTCATACAAAAATTATGAGAAAAATTGTCGCTAGAGATGCAATAATATTTTTTTAATTTCAGGAATAATTTTATTGAGAATCTTTCGAAAAAACCTTTCGAGTAAGGTTTTACTCCGTTAACAGCAGTGCAAATTAAGAGGTTATGGTGATGACAGTTTAAAGGCAGTTTCATTGCATGTCGGCCATTTTTAATACTCTCGTTAGTAACTTTGCGATACTGACTTAAGCCGGTTGCGCTTCTCTGATATCTAGGACTCTAGTCGCACCGTCCCGCAGTGGCTTCCCCCCCGCAACGTTATGCTCTATCCCTATATTTCTATGTCCATGGGCTGAACTGCTATTTGAATCAATGTGCGGAGGCGTACAAGGGAGACGAAGCCGAGGAGGCATTTAAGGGGGGATATACATGTAAAATCGAAAGAATAAATTTTTTTTGAAGGTTGCTTAAATCGATAGATAAACTATCCAAGAATATCCCCAGAAAGTTATAGAAGCCAATGCGAGTTAGTTCTAAAGGTATAAAGCCGAAACTAAGCAAGCGTCGAGCAAGCGTCGAGCAGGTAGACGGCGGCCGGCTAGCGGCGGTTTCTCGTCCCATCTGTCGGTCCTTTGTTTAGAAATTCGTCCGTGCGTGTCATATTTCGGAGTTCTTAGAGTGCGGTCGAGTTGCCACTACGAATACTTCGAAGCGTTTCTTGATTGGTTAATTTGTAAAATTCTTTCTTCTGATTGGTTAATCAAATGCTTCGAAGCATTCATAGTGGCAACTCGACCGCACCCTTAGTTCATGTACAGAAGTGTAAATGTGTGTATTACGTGTATATCACGTGATTCTGTACTTTCTACAGCTGTAAACAACTCTCAGTCCTGCTTCGATTTTCGACGCGTGAATGTTGTAAGCATCATGGCGAGTTACCCGAAACGCACAAAATCTGAATCAGAACGAACTGCACGGCCGAGGAAACGAACATTTCATGGAAATCAGTATTTATTTCATACAGAAGACGAGCAAGATTCAAATACGAGTGCTAGTAATAGGAAATTGGCGGATAGGAGTATCGAAAATGTCACTCTTAGCCCGCTGCACTTATATCGAATAATCGAATTCCTAACGGTTTTTGGTGCAAACAAAAAGTGACTTTTGAAGAGAGTGGACACCGAGGTTTAGGCTTTAAAATTGTAGTGACGTGTGCGTGCGGTCTTCGAGAAATACAATCATGTCCGTTTATAAAAAATTCGTACGAAGTAAATAGACGAATTGTGTTCGTCATGAGGCTTCTTGGAATTGGAAACGAAGGCCTCAACATATTTTGTGGGCTTATGGATATGTGCCAAGGACTTGCAACAACAGCGTATAATAATATAGTGGAACATTTGCACAGGGCATCGGCAACGATGTTTCAAGAAATAACGAAGAAAGCTGTCGGAGAAGAGCGGAAGAAGAATGCAGAAAATGGAAGAAACGAAACTCATTTAAAAATGTCCGGTGATGGCTCGTGGAAGAAACGAGGTTTCACTTCACTTTTCGGACTGACAACGCTCATCGGATACTATACTGGTAAAGTAATTGATCTCAACGTAAAAAGTGGATACTGTCACGCGTGTGCTTTAAATAAACAGAATTCTGTTTAAATAAACAGAAATATGACGACGACGAATTCTTGGAGTGGTATGAAAATCATAAAGATCATTGTTCATTTAATCACGAAGGTTCAGCCGGAAAGATGGAAGTAGATGCAATTATAGAAATGTTTGTACAATCTGAAGAAAAGCACGGCGTAAAGTACGTCAATTACATTGGCGATGGAGACACAGAAACGTTCGCAGGTATTCTGAAGATAAATCCATATGGCGACGATTGCCCAGTTACAAAAAACGAATGCGTGGGACATGTTGAAAAAAGAATGGGTTCGCAGCTCCGAAATATAAAAAAGAAAGAGAAACTCGGCGGTAAAAATCGACTGACGGAAGTTCTTATAAAGAAATTGACAATTTTTTACGGCTTGGCTATACGACGAAATGTTAATTCAGTGACAGACATGAGAAAGGCTATTTTGGCAACCTTGGATCATTACTGTTCAAGCGACGAATCTCCAAGGCATGATAATTGTCCACCAGGCGCCGACAGTTGGTGCAGATGGCGTCAAGCTGAAGCAAGAAATGAATTGTCAACGTATCAGCATGGAGCTCGAGTTATTGACAAGAAGATTGAAATGCACATCCGACCAATCTACGAAAAACTTTCCACTGAAGATCTTTTAACACGTTGTTTAGGCGGGCATACACAAAATTCAAACGAGTCGTTCAATGCGAGAAAGGAAAATCCAGCGAGATTGAGGAAAATATCGAGCGGCGCATACGAGGAGTCCGCGTCGCGTCGGCGAAAAAAAAGCGAGACCGGAGTCGACGCAAACATAACGTTGAGGACCGAGGGAACAAAAAGAAAGTACAGTCGAACACTAAGAGAAGAAATTCCAAAGGACGATTCATGAAAAAGGACGGACGAACGTCGGACGAGCGCAAGAGACGCGAAAGTGAGGAGTCGAGTGAGCGAGTTCGCGAGTAATTTGTGAGCCGGTACTCGTGCCGAGCACGACCCCGGCTCAGAGAGGAGAATGCGACCGTAGCCGTCAAGCCAGGCTCCGGCGCATCTCGCCAACTCGTTTTCTCTCTTTAGTTATAGTTATAGTCATAGTTACCAGTTAAGCGTTAATGATTAGAAGTAAGTTAAGTGACATTTTTCATTACGTTAATTGTTCATGAGTTTATTTTGCAATTAAAGTTATCAGTATTTGTATTAAGGTGAAATTACACAAGCGTTGTGATAATTGATGAGTATAAAAAAGTTATACTTATCATTAAAATTATATTTACATTTATCCGATGGATAGAATTTTTTTTTTTTTTATTCGTAGCGTGGCGGAACTGTCGTCATCGCCGCCGCCGCCGCCGCGTTCGTCTCTGAACCGAACAGTCGACCATACGGCCGTTAGCGCGATACTGCACGTGCGCGTGTCGCCAACACCGCGACCAACGGGCGAACAGCGTCTAACGCAAAAAAGGGGAAGACCGATATTTAAATAACGCGGTCCAAAGGATAGTAGAGCGACGTTCGCAGCACCGACGACGAAAACGACGGAGACTCCTGGAGAAAATAGTCAACCGCGAATCGTTCTACAGAGATGCGATCGTGTCGCGCCATAAGCGACGCTAATCGGCGACACTTGTACGGAAGATGTAACGTACGTGCGACAAAAATTGCTACGTGTAGTTTTAAGAAGGTGCGACGAGATACCTACCACCGTCTCCGACAATCGTCTCGACGGTACGATATCGGAAGATGTAACGCACGTGCGACAAACATTGCCACATGTCGTTTTAAGAAGGTGCGATCAGATACCTACCACCGTTTCCGACAATCGTCTCGACGATTCGTCACGCGACACAAGTCCCATCGCCGTTACAAGACGTCGCAAGACTCGAATAATAAGAGACACTCCACAGTCCACTCGTCCGATAGTTAAACGTTTGCAGCGTACACGAAACATTCGTGAGGCGGTTGTACGCTGCATATCGATACACCTCAGCACGCCACGCCGAACGCGAAAACGGGACATCTCGATCTTGCGACGAGCGCGCCTTCGCCTCTTCGAAGGGACACGCCATTTGCAACCGTTAAGGCCACTGTCCCCACGATGGCTACTGCCAGCCATGTGTACGCGCAGACGTACCATCACTACCATCCTGCGCAACCAAGATATAGCACGCTACCATGCGAGGACATGAGGTATTCCCCCAGGCGTTTGTATATAGTGTATGTACCTTTGTAAATAGTTTCTTCTCTGTAAATATGTAGTTGTATATATGTTAATTTTTTTTGTAAATATTTATTTATTGAAATTGTACATATTTATTTATTATGCGACTTCTAGCTAGATATACGAGACATTTATTACATTAAAATATACATATTTTAACAATTTGTAAAATAAATCGCGTAGATTATATACAACTCGTTGGAATAATTATCACATCTTAATGTGCGTAAGTGTACTATTCTGAAATGTGTATATGTTTCATTTTCCGTACAGGAATATGTGAATTTAATTCAAACTAATATGTATAATGTATATTATACATTTATGTTCAGTGATAAAAGTAAAACTATTGAAATATAATTAATATACATTGAAATATAATTAATAAATAAATTAATATTCAATTCTAAAAAATGTAATCATTTTTCTTTTAAAAGAAAAGAAATAGAAAATTCATTAAAACATTGCTAGCTTGGCAATATAATCGTTGATATATTTGTTTCTTCAGACTTTTATTGAACAAAAGCATCGCGAGATTCTACGGTGAGCTGTGTGAGCTCGATGGCTGGGGGCATGCGGGAACATTTTTCTCAGATAGCATTTCGTAGGTGGCATACGTTTTATATACGTTTCCTAAATATGCTAATATTCTACACGTTTAAGAAACGTATATAAAACCGACATATACTACTGGAGTTTTTCTCCCTCACGCATACAAAGATACTCCACCTATCCGTGCGACGATA